TAATTTTCCCATTTTTTAATGGAATTTCCCCGTTTTTTACCATAAATTCCCCATTTTTTCACGGATTTTCCCCATTTTTTCACCATTTTTTCCCCAATTTCCACGGGAATTTTTCCCCATGGAATTTTTTCCCTATGGAATTTTTTCCATGGAATTTTTTCCCATTTTTACCAGAATTTCTCCATTTTTTCCCATAAATTTTCCCATTTTTTCACAGATTTTCCCCATTTTTTCACCAAAACTCCCCCAATTTCCACCAGAATTTTTCCCCATGGAATTTTTTCCCCATTTTTTATCAGAATTCTCCCATTTTTTCCCACAATTTTCCCATTTTTTAATGGATTTTCCCCATTTTTTCCCATAATTTCCCCGTTTTTTCACGGATTTTCCCCATTTTTGGCCATAAATTCCCCATTTTTTCACCATTTTTTCCCCAATTTCCACGGGAATTTTTCCCCATGGAATTTTTTCCCTATGGAATTTTTTCCTATGGAATTTTTTCCCAGAATTCTCCCATTTTTTCCCATAAATTTCCCCATTTTTTAATGGATTTTCCCCATTTTTTACCGTAAATTCCCCATTTTTTCACGGATTTTCCCCATTTTTTCACCCAAACTCCCTCAATTTCCACCAGAATTTTTCCCATGGAATTTTTTTCCCATTTTTTATCAGAATTCTCCAATTTTTTCCCACAATTTTTCCCATTTTTACCAGAATTTCCCCATTTTTTACCATAATTTCCCCATTTTTTCACGGATTTTCCCCATTTTTTCACCCAAACTCCCCCAATTTCCACCGGAATTTTTTCCCTATGGAATTTTTTCCCATGGAATTTTTTCATATTTCCCATAAATTTCCCCATTTTTAGATGGAATTTCTCCATTTTTTACCATAATTTTCCCATTTTTTCACGGATTTTCCCCATTTTTTCACCATTTTTCCCCCAATTTCCACCAGAATTTTTCCCATGGAATTTTTTCCCATTTTTCTGAAATTCCCCCATTTTCTACCAGAATTTCCTCGTTTTTGGCCAGAATTTCCCCATTTTTTCTCCTGTAATTTCCCCATTTTTTCCCATAAATTCCCCATTTTTTAACCATTTTTTCCCCAATTTCCACGGGAATTTTTCCCATGGAATTTTTTCCCTATGGAATTTTTTCCCATGGAATTCTCCCATTTTTGGCCATAATTTTCCCATTTTTAGATGGAATTTCTCCATTTTTGACCATAATTTTCCCATTTTTTCACGGATTTTCCCCATTTTTTCACCATTTTTCCCCCGATTTTCACCGGTTTTTTTCCCTATGGAATTTTTCCCTATGGAATTTTTTCCCTATGGAATTTTTTCCCAGAATTCTCCCATTTTTTACCGTAAATTCCCCATTTTTTCACGGATTTTCCCCATTTTTTCACCATTTTTTCCCCGATTTCCACGGGAATTTTTCCCATGGAATTTTTCCCATTTTCCCATGGAATTTTTTCCCATTTCACTGAAATTCCCCCATTTTTCACAGAATTTCCCCATTTTTGGCCATAAATTTCCCCATTTTTAGATAGATTTTCCCCATTTTTTACCGTAAATTCCCCATTTTTTCACGGATTTTCCCCATTTTTTCATCATTTTTCCCCCGATTTCCACGGGAATTTTTCCCTATGGAATTTTTTCCCAAAATTCTCCCATTTTTTGCCATAATTTTCCCATTTTTAGATGGAATTTCTCCATTTTTTAACTAGAATTTCCCCATTTTTTGCCATAAATTCCCCATTTTTTCACCATTTTTCCCCCGATTTCCACGGGAATTTTTCCCTATGGAATTTTTTCCCTATGGAATTTTTCCCATGGAATTTTTTCCCTATGGAATTTTTCCCATGGAATTCTCTCCCCCCCAGCGTGATCCTGGAGTCTCCGGTGACGTCCCCGCAGTTCCTGGAGCAGCTGGAGCCCCAAATCTTGGCATTCCCCCATTTTTTCACGGATTTTCCCCATTTTTTCACCCAAACTCCCCCAATTTCCACCAGAATTTTTTCCCATGGAATTTTTTTCCCATTTTTTACCAGAATTCTCCCATTTTTTCCCACAATTTTCCCATTTTTTAATGGATTTTCCCCATTTTTGGCCATAATTTCCCCATTTTTTCACGGATTTTCCCCATTTTTTCGCCCAAACTCCCCCAATTTCCACGGGAATTTTTCCCTATGGAATTTTTTCCCCCATGGAATTTTTTCCCATTTCCCATAAATTTCCCCATTTTCTACCAGAATTTCCCCATTTTTTACCATAAATTCCCCATTTTTTAAGGGATTTTCCCCATTTTTTCACCAAAACTCCCCCAATTTCCACCAGAATTTTTTCCCATGGATTTTTTTCCCATTTCACTGAAATTTCCTCATTTCTAGGTGGAATTTCTCCATTTTTTCCCGTAATTTCCCCATTTTTGGCCATAAATTTCCCATTTTTTCACGGATTTTCCCCATTTTTTCACCATTTTTCCCCCGATTTCCACGGGAATTTTTTCCCTATGGAATTTTTCCCATGGAATTCTCTCCCCCCCAGCGTGATCCTGGAGTCTCCGGTGACGTCCCCGGGGTTCCTGGAGCAGCTGCGGGCTCTGGACGCGCAGCTGGGGGCGGTGAAGGCTCAGGCGTTCCGGGACACGCTCGCCTGCGCCGACGTCCAGCACGTCCTGGACCGCCTGCGCATCAAGGTGGGCACGCAATTCCCAAAATTCCCAGAATTCCCAAAAATCCCCCAATTCCCGGCCCCGGAAAAGCCAAAATTCCCGCCGGAAATAAGGCAAAAATCTCGGAATTTTCAGTTTGAAAGGCGGGAATTGCCGGGTCTGAATCCCGAGATTTCCAGGTCAAAAATGTTGGAATTTTCAGCTTAAAAATTCGGGAATTTTCAGCCAAAAATCTTGGAATTTTCAGCTCAAAAATGTTGGAATTTTCAGCTCAAAAATCCTGGAATTTCCAGGTCAAAATTCAAAAAATTCCCAGCCCCAAATTCCTGGAATTCCCAGCCCAAAAATCCCAAAAAACCCCCAAAATGCCCCAAAAATCCCCCAAAAATTCGAAAAATTCCCCCCAAAATTCCCCCCAAAATTCCCAAAAAATTCCCAAAAATTCCAAAAAAAT